TGCGGTAACTTCATCACCTCTATCTTCTCTATATTCACTTGAAGTCCCATCTTCGCTGCCTCTTCTGTCAACTTGTTAGTTTTCGCCTGTAGATCTTCAAGTTTGTGTGACATCAGACACAAGTCATCATCGGCGAAATCCAAGTCCTCTAGGTTCTTTTCCGCAGTCCAGCCAGTGTATTACCCTCTTCTCACTCCCCACTGTCTGTTGCATGATCCAGTCGACCACAATCAGGAATATCATGGGGGATAGTAGGCAACCTTGTTTCCCTCCTTCCTGTCCCCACTTCAAAAGCATCACTGAACTTCCCATTGTGGATTACTTGGCATGCGGCATCTTCATATAGTTGTTGAATGAGGTTGATAAAGGTTTGTGGTATTCCGTAGTGTTGAAGCAGTTTCCAAATTACTTGTCGGTCGACGCTGTCAAAGGCCTTCTCAAAGTTGATGAAGTTGAGGTAGAGAGCTGATTGCCATTCTATACTCTGTTCTATGATGACGCGAAGCGTTGCAATTTGGTCCACACTTGATTTGTATTTCCTGAAGCCTGCCTGTTCCGGTCGCAGTTTTGAATCCAGTGCATCCTTCAGCCTCTCCAGGATGATGCGGCTTAATATTTTGCTTGCACTGGTTGGACAGGAGAGTGATTCCGCACCAGTTCTTGCGAACACTGACGTCTCCCTTCTTCGGGAGTTTGACGAGGTAACCCTTATTCCAATCACCAGGTACCCTCCCTTCCTTCCACACCTTCCGCAATAGTGGTATGAGCATGTCCGCTGTTGTCTCTGCATCTGTGTTCAGTACTTCTGACGGGATTCCATCTAGTCCTGCTGCTTTCCCACATTTCAGTAGCTTTATGGTGTTCAGGACCTCCACTTTTGTCGGGGTATTTATGTTCACTTGTAGTTCTGTGGCTGGGCTGCAGGTGGAATTTCTGGACGAAATGCAGGTGGTGGTCGATTCAAGAGCTTCTTGAAGTGGTCGGCTCATCGTTTCCTTTGTTTCTCTTCTTTGGTAATTATATTCCCTTTATCATCTTTTTTGGTCTCATCTGCGTTGATTTCTTCCCAGATTGCAACCTGGCTATTTGATACAATGTTGTCAGGTCTCTCCTACCAGCCGGCAACCTGTTCTGCTTCACATGCCAATGTGTCATAGAAGTGTCTTTTGTATTTGCGAACACTCATCTTCACTCCTTTGTCCAGTGTTTTATACATTGTACTCAGTTCCTCTTGTCGTTGTGCATCCTTGCACTGGTTTATCTTCTGTTTCACCATCCTCCTCTCCCTGCTCTATCAGCTTCCAGGTATCCGTCGAGATCCATTCCTTATCTTCTTTCTTCTTCCTTCCTAATACGGTTGTGCAGGTTTCTTTCCACATCTCTTTCAAAGACTTCTAGTGTTCTTCCACACAGGTTTCTTCACGGATGTTCCTCGATATCTCCCATTTTGTCTTGATGGCTGACGTGAAGATGTCCTTTGTAGTTTCATCCTTCAGTTTCTGTTCCGTGTGTTGTACTTGAATTGAGGTCTATCACTAGGTACTTTGAAGGCTTTTAACTTGATTTGGAAGGCTGGTTCCTTGCACTATATAGTGAGTGGTGTGAACCTACATCTGCTCCTCTTGTTGACCTTGTGTCAAGTAGACTGCATCTCCACTTTCTTGAGATTGAAATGAAGTCTATCTGATGTTTAGTGTGTCCTGGTGTCTGGTGAAATCCATGTCGCTCGCTTTGTGGATATCCTTGTGCCTGAACACACTGCCTGACTCCAATCACCAAATCGTTGAATGCACAGAATTCTGCAAACAATTCTCCATTCTCGTTCATCACCTCACCTAGCGCTTCTCGACCCATGGTTAGTTCTCTTCCTGTGTTGTCCCCTCCCAGTTTGGCATTCATGTCGCCCATTAGAATTTTGATATCGCCAACTGAGGTGGCGTCTTGTCCAGTGTTGATTGCAGTTATCTGTAGAATTCTTCCTTCTTCTCTTCATCTGCATTATTTTTAGGTGCACAGCGTAGCATTGTATGATTGTGACCTTCCTTTCTTCCTTTTGAGTTGAATCTTGCTGTCATGATCCTGGAGGAGATTGGTTCCCACTGCATAAGAGCCTTCGATGGTGTTAGGGACATCATGATAGCCACTCCATAACTCAGTGTGCTCATGGTTGTCGTCTTGGTGACAATAATGGAGTAGATTGCTGATTCTTCAGTTGACAGTTTGGAGAGTCCACTCCCATTCCATCTGCTTTCGCAAATTCCAAGCACTTCGATGTTATACCTTCTCATCTTTGTTGCGACCTGGGCTGCCTTGCTGGGTTCAAACGTGGTGCGGACATTCCATGTCCCCACGTTTACTTTCACTTTCATCGAGAGAAGACACATCGGCCAATTGGCTTCCTGAAGGCAGGCTTTCACCAACTGGCGTCATTTCGCCTCTCCGATTCCAGCGAGGAATAATTTTGTTATTATTTTTTATATATCGTTTGTGCTTTGAAGTTTCTTTAGCGGTTAGATTTGTTTTTCTGGGGTAGGGTTGCTAGCCCTATGCCCAACCTTCCCTGTTTACCCGGGTTTAGGACCGCCTAGTAACTAGTGAACTAGTTAACCAGGCGAGGTTGTAACGGATACTAGTTATTATTTATCGATGCAAGCATTTTCTCGTTAGTACACTGCATCATTAGGATATAGGCAGATACAGCTAATGTGCCTGAAAAAAGATCAGATATGCGTCCTAGATTCCACCGCTAACCACCAAGTACTCTGTAAAGTAATGAATATTTAGAGCAACAGTAAAACATTCATGTAACAGCTCATTTTCCAGCAGATGTGGAGCAATTCGATTCAGTGTAACACCGTGAAATTTCAGGTATCAACAAATAGCATTCAAGTTTTCAAATATCATTTCAGTATCTCATAAATATACTGTTTAGTTGACTCAGCAAATGAATACACATTATAAATGAACCTTCATTTCCGATGTTACTGGTCTTTCAAATATGGACTGAAATTTCACTTGATGATAGTGAAGTGGAATAGCTATTAGATAGTAAAATGATGAACAAGATTTGTCAACCAGGTTTTCGTATTTGCTAGGATGGTTAGATAGGCCTCTGGAAAGTTTATGTTGCTCCACAAACATGATTTTTGTTTCCATTGTTGTGGTTAAAAACATTCAACACAAGCTTTTCGTACTACAGATAATTCTGGGTGCAACTCAACTAGCAACCTTAAAAAAATGCAATCTTGTAATTAGTGACATACGTGTATTTTTGTAATCTACCGTTTAAATACCTTCCATGCAGCATGCAACATGATTGATATTCAGGAGAACGTAGGTATTTACATTAAAGGGTCCCATCTGCCAAAAGAGGTTGGGCAATTCGACCTAGTTTAGTAACAGGAAATTAGGTGTGTCAAACTAAATTTTAGACACTTTTGCGATCACCAGTAGAAATGAGCTACATTGGCCAATTGGAACACTTTACATCCCACCAAAATATGGAAACTGATGGCAGATAAAATCTGACAATTTGTTTGTGCATGTCTTAAATTGCTTTGTAAATTGGAAATATTATTATTCAAGCTATTCAAGCTAACTGACAAATATAAATTAATATCTTCATTTATAGAGGCAAAAGTTAACTGTTTGATAAAGCCTACTTTTTTCTAACGATTACCTTTAGTGGTGCTATGTTCTTTGAGCTGGACAGCTTACTCGTGACGCTCACAATAGTTGATAGATTTGGTCAAGGTCAACATATCCGTTGATTACTGACTAACCACTAGGAAATACGAGAAACCACAAATGGGTCAGAGTTCACGTCATTAGGATGGCTACCTAGAATATGTGTGGTGACAATAACAAGATTTTAGCAGAAACAACTAATTACACACAAGTTCGTCGATAAAAGCCACTTATGGAGGTCACATAACTCATTTCTTTCTAACGTTTGTGTCGTTAAGCAAAGCTTCACTACTGAACACTCTATCACAGAAAACAGCACCAGGAAAATCCTCCTCATGAGTTACAAATATTTCAGTCATCTCAAAGATAATTGTTGTCGTTTTAGTGTTTTTGCAGTTACCCTACTATAATTTGATCTTACGTGCATAATTGATAATTTTGTTTAGATGCAGGACGTTGTACTGAATTTGAAGATTAGTCTGCTGACAAAAACTCTGGTACAAAACAAATTCAGCACAGACTACATTTTTATCCAGAAATCCACTTCTTCACCTTACGATATTTCTGACTACTTGTAAATAGATATATCCACACTTCAGGGTAATCATCAACATAATACTGTTCCTTATATTATCCCGTTGTTGAGTGAACCGAATTGATCGGTCTCCATTGGAACATGGGCTATTGCACAAACGCCTCAATATCGCTTCTGTTTGAACTAGATATTATTGATGAATAGTGACCAGCAGTGAAACCCAGGACGCGCATTTCGTCCTAGTTGGGACTCTTTAGCCGGATGTATCTGGCTCCTAGTGAGCGATTTTGTTCCCACTAGTACTTGAACTATGTATATATATATATATATATATATATATATATATATATGCATGGCAATAAAGACCGATCAGTTTGGTCCACTCAAAGAAGAGCTGATTCAAGCAACACCATTAAAACTACACCCGTTGCACAAGAAGTGGCTTTCGTAACTCAGTTGTCTTGTGCGTAAAGTTCAAGGGTTTTAGGCGATCGGTCCTGAGTTTGAGTCCTACTCGGAACACAGTCACACACTGAGAGGCAGGCACATCCAGCTGACGAGTCCAGAATAGGACGATGCGTGCTTTCTGGACTCCTTTGGTGGTCACTATTGATGATTAAATCATCACCATAGACCATAAACCAATGAAAATTTGACCATTCAGTAGATGCACTGAAATCAATTAGCTCTTTACAAACTAATCAGTAAGATATTTGGATTTCATCAAGATATTTTTTGTCAGTCAACAATAAGCCCCACTCTGTCTCCTTATTTTTAGACGCACATTGGTTTACACAAATTTCCCTGAAGTAGCACATACAGCCTACTGATGAGTGCTGACAAGGACGAAACCAAAGTCAGAGATTTTTATCAACTTACTGTAAATATTCAATGAAAAGAAGGTATACCATAACTCTATGTCACTCAGCTTGGTGGGCATAACTGGCACTTTTTGGAAAGATTAAGTAATAACACATCTGAACTGTAGAGTTGCGTTGGTGACAACTTAACAACTATTTAATTTAGATTAAGCCAGAGGTGAGTTTTACGATTCGATGAAACTTAATATTCAGGATAATTAAATGTATGACGATTTACTCTAATGATGATATAGAATTCTGTTATAAAATTTTTCTGGAGAAAATCCACCTAAGGTATTACGGTGATAAAATAGTGACAAATATATTAGATTTCAGAGAAAAGGGTCTTGTGATGAAAATATTTACAATGATTTTTACTCAGTTGACCTAGAAATTCATCAGGGTTATCATACATATGCGTCCTCTCATATATAAGCAGAATCTGATGAATTTTATAGTTCAGTGTTGAAATTGTATCTCACAAACATTCAATTTCTTCTTTTATACGGTTTATTGAACTTCGTGAATTAAATAAGCATGTATGTGGATTAAGATGGTTCTTCTATCAACCTTCTTAGTGGTGACTAGCAGTGGAATCCAGAACATGTGTTTCTTCCTATTTGGGACTCGTCAGCCGAATGTACCTGCCTCTTAGTAAGTGATGGTGTCCCAAATGAAACTGGAATCAAGAACAACTCACTCCAGCAACCCAGGGAATAGCATTAGCGTTTGAAGTAGTGGGTGTTAGGTTTATGTCTCTGTGGGAATACTATCGCGGGGATGCCGATACAGCTAGCTGACGAGTCGGTAATAGGGAGAAACCCACACCATAGATTCCAGTGCTGCCCATCACAGCCAAACTTCAGATGATATCAAGATGTCTGCATAGGAGCAAAGTTGTCAACAAAGGGCGATCACTTCAATCCACCACAATGACAAGGAATTTTTCAGGAACGTTAGAAAGCATTTACAACATAGCTTAGCTCTAATTTCCATGGAAAAGAAATATCTATGAGGACAACCTGAGAATCTATCAGGTATTGTTTTCCAGCTGTTCAGTATTTAGCATCCTCTGGCTTTGATAGGATCGAACGTATGATCACGCTTTCTGAAGTTAAATATGTTACTGTTAGTGGCTATGGTTTGGTCCAACAGTCGAGATTTGCCAAATATTTTTCATCCAGGATATGAGGCAATAACCTAAACGAAAACCCACAATGACCTTCTTAGGCACTGTTTGTGACCAGAATTGTATCACAGTAATAGTAATACCAGTTTGGCGTGGTTTGTCAGACTTGTATTGATACTGGGTGATGATCAGAGATGAAATAAAAATGTGGACCGTAGTAGGATTCGAAACAGCCACCTCCGGGTTATAGAAGGTTTTCCTACCCTACTAACTACACATTTCGATGTATAATACTAGCTGAAGTCATAGCAGAGTATAATGACCTAAGAATCGAAAAATAAAGACTTGGTATAAGCTCATAAAGCAAATGCTTTATGAAGGTGCACAGTCAGTCTTTTGCTTGGGGGTTTTAAAGATTCTATGTAGAAACTGTTGAACTCTGTAGATATTGCTTATAGAAATCGAAATTAGTGTCCAGTTTGAATTGGTTTGATTTTGTCAGCCTAAGGTAACTTATGAATGTTTCGTGGGTTGTTTCGCTTCCTAGTTAGTTTACTTACATTGTATGTGGTATAACCAGAAATGATGGAATACTGTGCCATTGTTGTTTGTCAGCACAGAATAACAATTACCATACTAAATTATTAAAGTGTAATATCACTGATTAGTTTAGCGGATAAATAAAGAACCTCCAAAAGTTATGCTTATTCAAGTAAATTTCCTGTATGAAATAGAATTCAATCCATTGAATTGCTGGGCAAAGCAATTTAATTTGGCCAAAATTTTGGGTATCTGCATAAAACGAAACACTGTCCGGTGCATGTGATAAGCCTGACCAATAAATTATTGATCTTTTATTACGGTAAAATTATTGATCGAATCACATGCTTTTCGTCACTTGATGTGGATAAACGTTTTAGATATTAGAAAACCAGGATTTGTGAAGGTACCGTACCTATTGACACCCTTTAATAACGCATAAATAAAACCTTAAAAATTGATCACGTATATCTGAGATTCTAGTTTCAGTTACTGAGGGCAGGAGTCAAATATTCTGCTACTTTGATCACTACAGATTTAATTCCATATTATATTTATTCATTTGATTTAACATACACACAGTGATCTAGTATTATTTACTTGATGACGTTTCGAGCATAAATTATCATTGCTCATAATCATATCAATGTAATCACACAACTTTCGACATAAAAGTCAAATGTCGAAAGTACTATGTGATTATATTTATATGATTATGAGTAGTGATTATTTATGCTTGAAACGTCATCAAGTAAATAATACTATATCACTGTGTGTTATCAATCAAATAAATAAATCTAATGTGGAATTAAATTCTAACACAGTGCCTAAGTTTTACACCTAGACTACTGGTTTAGTCTGCTTATTATTATATATGTTATTATTTGTCCCTTGGGTTCCTAATGGAACATAGGGCTTCACTAGCACGCCTCCAGTGAACTGTGTCCTCTGAAATCTTTTGAGCCTGGCTCCACGACAGCTCACAACCTCTCATTTCTTCCTCACGTGATCTCCACCATATCACCGTCGCCTCGAACGCCCAACTCGTCGTTTCTCATCTGGGTTCCACTCGAGGGCCTGGCTCATTATGTCCTCAGTCGGTCTTCTCAGTGTAAGCCCAATCCTTCTCCACTTTCTCCTTCTGCATACTTGTTGAGCAATAGGTTGTTGGTTGGTTCGTTCCTAGCCAGCCACAGTTCCTTCTTGCTTATTCTTATTATTCTGGCCATCTGATCTTCAGTGTCGAGTGAGCGTAGACAGTTGTTGATGAATGTCTGTAGTTTGTTGGAAATCCCTTTCGTTACGCGCCAAGTCTCTGGACTATATAAAAGCAGAGACTTGACGTTGGTGTTGAAAATCCGGATCTTGTTCCGCATGCCGAGTGGAGAAGATCTCCACAGGTTCCAGGTTAATGATCGTGTCGGATAATTAACTGGCCTATTTCAATAAGCATAACGGAATAGACATTTTTATTGCGTTTTCATTCAGTTGCTAATTCGTGTGTAAACAGATGACTTTTCGTCCTCATACTGAAGTTAGTGCTGAAGACGTCGTCTAGAAAGACGATAAAAGCTCCATGACTGAACAACTCAGCTTTAAGAACACAATACAAACAAGACCATCCACTTGAGCTACAGATATTCTCCACCATTTCAAAATGATAAAATTGCTAAACGGACAGAACGTTTCTAGTAGACAATACAATAATTTGTGAAAGCAGTATTCAGTTACAGTGATGCCATCTTATCTTGTATGTAGTGGATTTTTCTGCCTCTCTTTCAAACTACTCAAAAAGATCTGAAGACATACTGAGGAGGACCTATAATATCACCAAAATTATTGTTGTCATCAAACCCATTGCCGAAATTTTTCATAAGATGAAAATAGCTAAAATATATGGCTGGGCACAGTACTGGCTAATCCAAAATATAAAATATTGCTGTATGTCTCTTAAGATTTTTATGATTCATATGTGCATTATATGATGTAGCACTGAGTAATTTCAGTGCTAAAATCGAATGTGAGGACTAATGGTCAGTTTCCTTGAACTTAATTTTCTGCTGTTTTGTTTCAATAGTAAGACAGAGGATATCTTTAACTTGGTATATGCATATTCAGGTCACAGTATTCCAGTTGTACTTGTATAGAACATGCCTTTCACTGAAATTTTCGTAATCCTCCTCAATGAGACCTGGGAACCTATCTGAGCGGTGTCTGTATGAATCCATTCTTCTCAGTCTATTAGTTTGGTTGATGCTGTCTTCTTCCTGTTTGTTACATTTTTCCTCGGTATGTTGTGAGCGATTGCTTTAGTCATCCAGTCCCATCATAAGCACTTGAGTAGATGTGATTAGGTGATTCTACCGACTTCATTGGATGTATGTATTCTGTTGGTTGTGATCCTCTTGATGCTCATATATTCATAAATTGGCTACTTGTTATTTGCTACACAAGGAGGTAGTTGATTCCACTGTTTTGAGTACCACTAGGAAACACATATATTGTGATTTCTACCTGTGAGGTTTTCTTTGAACATTAAATCAGTAATGAACTCTCAGAAGCCTAGCAAACGTATTTACTTTGGTCCTAGTGGAGAGTTGAGGAACGAACCTTCAAGATCAGATTTCATGGGCTCATCCACTGGGTACTATTGAGAACACTCAATTTTTTCTGCAGTCGTCTGCGAGGAATCTTATTGTATGAATTTACTGTCCATTAAGTCACTTCGGTTGTTGATGAAACCCTCTGATATATATTATGCATGTCCTAGCCATCTGAACTGGTGAAGGTTTACCACTGAATTTTTCTATTCGAAAGTTTACACCTGACTTCCGCGACACCCAGTCCGTGCTAGGAAAACAATGAACATTAGAAATCTTTGTCTTTTCACTTCCTCCGTCTTTAATGACCGTGATTCAAAGCAATATTGCAAGGCGAAAAAGCTGTGCCTGTGTTTTGTCCATGGATTTCTCGAATACGATAATTTCATGATCCAAGATTCCATAGTTTCAGCTTGCGAAGCTTGTTTTCCTACTTTACGAATGGACATTGGAGGCTATGCTGTGTATTGCAGGGCGTGGATTTTGGAGACTAAAGATTTTTCTATGTAAACTTAAATAGTAATTAAGGGCTATAAAGCAACGATAAGTTAAAGATGACTCAAGAATATCAACCCAGAGATATGAAGAAAGGTCACAAGGCAACAATGAAGAAGATCGATAGTAGCGGTGTATAATCTCGGAGCCCAAAGGACATCTGCTTGAGGTCTGTCAATCGTGGTCTTTTTCAAAGTAACATATTTAACTTCGTTTTGAATGTGCACTATGCAAATCAATACTGCCAGCACAGAAAGACAGCAGGGCAAAGGGGAGTATGGTACTTTTAGGGTAAGTCTTTTCAAACCCATGGTCCCAAAAAGAAGGCAGCGTCAACATGGAATGCTAGTGATTCGTGACAAATTTCTCACTGTTGTCCCATTCGTCCCCTGACTAGTACGACTTCGTTCTCGA